GACACCTACATACAACACGCTGCATTAAGTCTCGATCAGAATCTTCTAAGGACAATGTCAAAGTTATTCTTAGTAAATAAACAGAACATGCCAATCGAAAAGATTAGTAGATGACAGTAAAACTAAAATATCAAAATATGCTTTTACAGATGCAGTTCATTTCCTTTAATGTTAAAATTTCTAATTCAGTATAGATCTAATCACATATCCTATATCTCTATTTCTATGCTTTCATTCAGTGTAAATTAGTAGTCAGCCTAAGCAACTTAGTGTACGATTGTGTCTTTTTCCTTTTTCTTTTTTTGACAGGAAATACAATGCCACTATAGAATTTCAGACTGGGTGGGTGGGTTGGCCATTCTGAGCTCAACACTATAAATGAAAGGACAGAAAGGAGAGCAGAACAAACTCCTAACAGAAGGAGACTCACTCATGGCCTATGAGACAGAGGATCAGGAGACTCAATACTGCTTTCCTGACATCAACTCATCATGTGTTAAAGGAGAACGCTCCAGTTATGAATACTACAGCATGTATGTGTTTTTTTCATTGCTGTCAGCATGGACTGTGTTTCTGAACCTCCTGGTGATCATCTCCATCTCTCACTTCAAGAAGCTTCACACTCCAACCAACATGCTCATTCTCTCTCTGGCTGTAAATGATCTACTTGTTGGACTTATTGTGATGCCAATAGAGGCCATCAAGCTGATTGGGACGTGTTGGTACTTTGGAGATACATTGTGTGATCTGTTTTTGATAATTATGGGTCTGCTCCTCTCTACATCTCTTTGCAATTTGGTTTTAATTGCTGTTGATCGTTATGTAGCTGTGTGTCACCCTTTACTGTACACACAGAAAATAACAATGACTAGAACCTTATTTATTGTTTGTATCTGCTGGGTTTTTACTTCATCGTATAATATTGCTATTGTAAGAAGTACCTCACACAGAACAAGCGGGTGTTATGGTGAATGTAATGTTAAGCTATCTCTTGAATGGAGAGTAACAGATTTAATATTTTCCTTCCTGCTTCCTTGTACAGTGATCATAACTTTACATTTGAGGATATTTTATGCTGTACATCAGCAAGTGAAAGTGATCAACTCTCAAATGAAGAGAGGTAAAGTTGCAATAGGGGGATCAGTGAAGAAAAAAACTGAGAGCAAAGCAGCTCTGTCATTAGGAATAATTGTCGCAATTCATCTGCTTTGCTGGATTCCATACTTTATATTGACTCTAACTGATAACATGGCAATTCCACCCACCGTTTTATATTGTTTAATATGGGTCTTGTATATTAATTCATGTCTGGATCCTCTTTTCTATGCTTTCTTTTACACCTGGTTTAGAAAATCAATCAAACACATCTTAACTCTTAAAATATTTCAGCTAGCATCCTCTCATATCAATATTTTTACAAATAATTCATGAAGTTGTGTTTCAAAGTGATAAAGCTTGTTTAAACTCCTCAAAGCGTACCATGTATCGTAATATAGAACACTTTGTAGATTTTAATGTAAACAAATACAAATATTTAAAAAGTAAATGCAATAGGTTTCACAATTTTATACTTCATGTTATTAAACCTCATATGAAACCTTGATTTAAAATGTAATTCAGATCTTCAGAAGAAACACCTGCATGCAACACATTGCATTAGTCCTCCATAAAAAAAATATTTTAAGGCCATATAACTATACCAACAAAAACAATTACCACACGTCAGTAAAACCAAAATATCAAAATGTGCTTTTACAGTTCCATGACTTTCCCTCTAATATTGCTAAACCTTTATATTCATTAATTGAAGTACAGATTCAATCACATATCCTATATCTTTATTTCTATACAAGTTCATTTACTGTAAATCAGTTGTCAGCCTAAGCAAGATAGTGTACAATTATGGATTTTTTTTTTCTTTTTGACAAGAAAAACATTTCAATTAAAGAATTTCATACTAGGTAGATGGGTTGGCCATTCTGAGCTCAACACTATAAATGAAAGGATAAAGGAGAGCAGAACAAACTCCTAACAGGGGGAGACTCACTCATGGCCTATGAGACAGAGGATCAGGAGACTCAATACTGCTTTCCTAACATCAACTCATCATGTGTCAAGGAGAATCGATCCAGTTATGAATATTATATCATGTATGTGTTTTTTTCATTGCTGTCAGCATGGACTGTTTCTGAACCTGCTGGTGATCATCTCCATCTCTCACTACAAGAATCTTCACACTCCAACCAACATGATTATTCTCTCTCTGGCTGTTGCTGATATGCTAATGGGACTTATTGTGATGCCTGTGGATGCCATTAAGCTGATTGAGACCTGTTGGTACTTTGGAGAAAGTTTGTGTGATGTGTTTATAATAATTATGGGTCTACTTCTCTCAACATCTCTTGGTAATTTAGTTTTAATTGCTGTTGATCGTTATGTAGCTGTGTGTCACCCTTTAGTGTATCCACTAAAAATAACAATGACTAAAATGTTAATCATTGTCAGTTGCTGCTGGCTTTTTTCTTCAGCTTATAATATTACAATTGTAAAAAGTACCTCACAGAGAAAAGATGGGTGTTACAGCGAATGTAATGCTACCCTTACATATGAATGGAGAGCTATTGACTTAATATTTTCATTCCTGCTTCCTTGTACAATTATCATAACTTTACATTTGCGAATATTTTATGTTGTACATCAGCAAGTGAAAGTGATCAACTCTCAAATGAAGCGAGGAAAATCTGTCATGGAAAGTTCAGTGAAGAGAAAATCTGAGAGCAAAGCAGCTCTGACATTAGGAATAATTGTAGCTATTCATCTGCTTTGCTGGATCCCATACTATATATTGACTCTAACTGATAACATAGCTATTCCACCCACCGTATTATATTGTCTAATATGGGTCTTATACATTAATTCATGTCTGAATCCTATTCTCTATGCTTTCTTTTACCCCTGGTTTAGAAAATCATTCAAACACATCTTAACTCTTAAAATATTTCAGCTAGCATCCTCTCATGTCAATCTTTTCACAAGTAATTAGTAATGAAACATAATAATCAAGTACAGTAAGTATGATTATGCAATAAGAATTGTATGCCTGTTTCAATGTCTTACAAAGTGTCCCTTATATTATAATTTAGATTATATTTTAGATCAGTTTAACAGATAATAAAAAGGAAAATAAATGTGTCCAAAATAACAAATGTATTTTATTCAATATTTTCTGCCACATTTCAGTAAAAAGGAAAAACTGCCACTAAACATATGCTGTATAATTGTGAGAACAATCAATATGTATGTGCTTTTCAAAATAGTTTTAAACATGCAAATCTCAAATTAAATTTAGACTAATACACAATAAATAGACATTAATTTAACAGATTACAAAATGTATTACTTCATGTTTATCAACCTCGCATTAAACCTAAATCAGAAATGTAATTCTTCATATGAACACTCTACATTATACACAAGGCGCATTGATTATCCGTCATAAAATTCTCATTACATATGCCAAATAGGTTCTTAGTAAATGTATAAAGTATCCCATTTAAAAGAGATTTCTAGATTTTAGATAAACAAATATATGCCTGTACAATTCCAGTTCTTGTTAAAGCTTCATAGTCTATGTTGACGTATATATATCCTATCTGTCAAATATCTTATGTCTCTATATTTCTACATGCTTTCTTTCAGTGTTTTATTTAGAAGTATATCGAAGCAGAGGTTGTATACGACTCTGCCTTTTTTTCCTACAGAAAAAACAGCAATACCATTAGAAGATCAGGATACACAATACTGCTTCCCTGCCATCAACTAATCATGTGTCAAGGGAAACGCTCCATACATGAATGGAATTTTGTGTTTTGTGTTTCATTGCTGTCAGCATGGACTGTGTTTTTGAACCTGCTGGTGATCATTTCCATATCACACTTCAAGCAGATTCACACTTGATTATTGACAAACATGATAATTCTCTCTCTGGCTATAACTGATCAGAATTATTGTGATTCCAATAGAAGCTATTAAAGTAACCCTAAACCCTAACATGGTGGTATTTTGATACATATTAAATGGAGTGGAGTGTTTATAAATACTTGAATCAGCATCTCTTAGTAATGTAGTTTTAATTGCTGTTGATCTTTACCTACAGTAGATGCATGTCACCCTTTACTGTACCTACTAAAAGTAACAACAACTAAACATTTTATGAGCATCTTTGCTGGTTTCTTGTTCTTATTTTCTGCTTCCTTGGCATCAAGATCATACCTTTATATTTTAGGATACTCTATTTTGCACAAAATTATTAATATACTTTTAAAAACTTTTTAAATTGAGTTTCCAAAAAGGCGTCTTTAAATAAAATGTATTATCATTAATATTATTAAAGAAATTTAATTCGCTTTGCTGGATTCCATCTAGAAAATATGGTCAATGATGCAATCATTTCCAGATTTCTAATGTAGACCTTATTAGCTTGGGTCTGAATCCAGCCATCTAAGCTTTAATTTATATTTGATACATTTAAAAAAGGCAATTAAACATATCTGAACTTTAAAATTACGTTATGTATAACTCTCTCATATGGTCATTTACACTTACCATTAAGTCATACAAATTACACAAAAATAAGAGAACAAAAAATAAAATAAGAGTAAGTTTTGTACAGAACCATACTGTATGTGTATTTAGATTTTTTTTCTAATTTACAATAGAATAAGGTATATTCAGAATTGTCATATGACTTGATAACTATATATTTTTTACTCAATTCAGCTTAATAAGTAAGTACTTTACATTTAAATGAACAAGTAAGCAGGCCGAAACTATGCTTGCTGGAAGCACCTTGTGATGTAATCAGAGAAGGTGCTCTTTTCTCGACCATAAGCATCAGAAAATATCCAATCCACTTCCCTTGGTACAAAGACTTATAAAGCACTTATTTTCTTATTTTCATTGGTTACTTTACATTTTTTATTAAAACCAAGACATCCATGAGCAGTTTACTTTAAGTTTATTGGTACTTTACATACAGTTTAATTCCAGAGAACCATTACAGCTCTCACTTATTGACACATTAAAGATCTAAACCTCTAAAATCAAACTGCATACTTTTATTTTGCTTTTAAAGGTTTAGCTCCGCTTTATTGGCACAACAATAATGCAAAAGCATTGTAAAGTTAACAATGTACAGTAAACAAAATGTTTCAGAAGAGATTAATAATTAAATCATAAATCATATAATCCATTTCAACTTTTTAAACGTATTTAGCCGCTATGATAACAGTGAAAGATTAGACATGGTTCTTTTGTGACATTTAGGACAAATTCAGTTTTCTCGTTTTCTGTTAGCTGTATAGATTTGCTTGCTTCAAATTAATTTACACCTTTTTTCCATATAAAATCATGAGTTATGGAGAAGCAACTGTATAATGTGCAGGCCAATATCATATTTAGTCAAACAAACAGTCTAATAAATTAAATAAATTCTCAATTAAAGAGAAAATCTCTGATATGAACAACATTTTTTACAAAACAGATTCCGAATCAAACTTATATTCTCTATTTTTATAATTTGCTTATCAAAACAAACTTTTAAAGTCCATTGAGACACTAAATGTATATTGAAATTAACACTAGATCAGCATTACTTACCATATTAAGCAATACTTTTGCCTGTGTTAGGTTTCTACTTCGAGTTTAAACATTTTCATAAAGAAGAATATCTCAGGCATTCAACAAAGTCTTTAACAATAGTCTTTAACAGGACAAAAGATTTAGTGTCACTCAGAACTAATCATTAAATCCAAATATTTCGAAACAATACACAAAAGCTGATGCTTTACTAGCCTTCACAACAGTTTTACAATAAAACCCAACTAAACCATTTGCAAAACAGATTATAGATTATGTGGAAGGAATAATCATCTAAAACTAACATTATGTAATCATTTAAAGCTGCATGACTTTCTTTCATTTTATGAACGTTGAGATTTTTTTTTAGACTCCATAAAAAAGAAAGAGTTTTGGGACAACACATGGGTGAAAATAATTTTGTGCAGAAAAACCCTTTTCATACATTCTTTAGTTTTACATTTAAGCAACAGCAGGAGATCATTTCTCCTCCATGAATAGGTTGAAATATTGTGATGAAGGTTCTAATATTTTCAGAGTTAAAATGTATTTTGTTGATATTCTAAACCATTTATAATACATTGCATAAATTAGTGGATTCATTAATGAATTCATGCATAAAATCCAGTACATTATATTAATTACAAGGGAGTCATTGGTGTCTTGCCCAAGAGTAAGTGCAGCTATATAATATGGTATCCAGCAAAGGAGATAGATCATCACAACAACCCCTAAGGATTTTGCAGCCTTTTTTTCTGACTTTACCTTTCTGTCTGTGAGTGCATTTATATGCTCAGCTTGATGTTTTGCTATAAAGCAGATTTTCAGATATAAATAAATGATTAAACAACATGGGGTCACAAAACAGACTAAGGCATCTGTTATTATATATTCCAACTTAATAAAAAATATACATTCCCCAATACATGTATGGTTTTTCTCTGGATAGAGTATAGCTTCATACATAATGAGTAAAGAATATATGCTAGAAAACACCCAGTTTACAACAATAGAATAAACAGCTCTGTTAGTATCAACTCTTGTTGTATATCTCAAAGGGTCATTAACAGCAATATAACGATCCACAGATATAATGATCAAATTACCAAGAGATGCTGTTGTAACCACATATAAAATAAACGGAAATATTGAGCAAAAGATTTCTCCAAAGTACCAGCATGGCTCAATCAATTTGAGGCCAAGTACTGGCATAAGAATCAGTCCAACAATCAGATCAGACATTGCCAAAGAGAAGATCAGCACATTGGTTGGAGTGTGGAGCTGATGGAAGTGAGCGATAGAGATGATCACCAACAAGTTCAGAAACACAGTTAACACCGATACTGTAGAAATAAATATGTACACAAAAATGTACTCCGCTCCAGGTTTTACATTTCTGGTACAAGACAAGTTGTTGTTTGGAAAGCAGTATTGGATCGTTTCATTGTTCGTGTTTGTCCCTCCCCAGTTAGACATTTTGATGAAAGAAGAGTCTGCACGTCATAAGAGAACTATTCCAAATCTGTATGAGAATGCTTGTCAGTTTGGCCTACTGGAGCTCAACAATGACACGACTGTTTTATACCTAAAATGCAGCGACCACCCTTTCAGAATGATGCTTGATTATGCACCTTTTGACCCACCTACCTGTTAAATATTCATAGACCTGTTTAATATGTCCAATAATCATATCCAGTAAAAATTGCTCAGGGCTTGGCAAAATGAAAACTGGTGGGTGGGGGGGTGGGCCGATCGCGAAGTGAAGAACGGGTGGTTGAGAGGGAGGGGGACTGGGAGTTGGCTATCGAGAAGTTTCATTCAGTTGAGAAGCAAGCATTTTTTTTCTCCAAGAGAAAATAGGGGACGTGCTCTGCTAATAATAATAATAATAATAATAATATGAAAAAGAATAGTTCAGGGGTTCTTTCCATTTTATTAGGGTTACTTGTAATGACACTAGCAATGAATTTGAAAACTTATTATTAGAAAAAATCCATAGTTTGATATTAATGCACAACAAAAACAGACATCTTATATGCAAACATTTAAAAAATAGTCACAAAACACAAGATCTCACAAGGTAATTTTCTCACCTGCCATGTCATATAAACGCTAAAGACTATATAAAGTGATATCCTAATGTATAACAAAAAAACGGAGTGAATTGCTCTGTAAAACTAGAATCCAACTCGCTCTTTAAGATCTCAAATCTCAGGGCTTTTGGTAGTCCCTAAAATAGCAAAGTCTACTAAAGGAGGTCGAGCCTTCTCATTTATGGTGTCTAAACTCTGAAATTGCCTTCCTAATAATGTTAAAGGCTCAGACACAATCTCTCAATTCACAACTAGATTAGTGACCTATCGTTTTAGTACACAATGCATCACAAAACAGTAAGACGTATGTGTGCTCCATGCAGGTGAGTGGGCTTGACAAATCACCTGTAGTACACACTCTTCCTGTCTTAATGAGCCAGACATTTTGTTAGAAATACTTATATGCTTTACATGTTTGTTTCTATGTGTTTATATAACAACTAATTTTATTTATAGCACTTTTTTTTTTGCAATATTTAATATCTTTTGTTTAAATACATCATGAACAGCAGCTACGCTAAATACTTTATTTATTCTCTATTTCCACCTGAGGATACTCATCCCGGGGCATCTAGAGATTATGCAGCCACATTGATGCAATTTAAGACCTGTGACGAAATGATGTCAAGGTATCGATAATCCTGGACCAGGCCGTATCTTGAGCAGCTGCTGTTATGGTTATGGAGAAGCGGATAGCATGAGACTGATTTCTGAAAGATCACAGTGACAAACAAATCTTTGTATTGATCCCATGGGCCAGCCTGAACACCCACCGGTAACCTACTCAAACCTGCGGTTCTTCACAATGGATATCCAGTGCTCTTTAGCCTCCACCGCCTAGACTGCCGCTCTGCACAGAAGGTTAGGCTAGAGAAGAAATGGCCGTGCCCAACTGAGCCTAGTTTCTCTTAAGGTTTTTTCCTTCACTTTTGTCAATTAGTGAAGTTTTGTTCCTCACCACTGTCACTACTGGCTTGCTTGATTTGGGAGCTACACATCGATGGATTTGCTGTTCAGTGTTTGGACTTTCAGCAGTGAAAAATAAAACCACATGGGTCTGAACTAAACTGAACTTCAACTCTGAAAACTGTACTGACACAGTTTCAATTGACAAGAACTTCTATGTTAAGCTGCTTTAGCACAATCAACATTGTAAATGCGCTATATAAATAAACATTAATTAAACTGAATTGATCTTGTAATAGGGCAAAACAGTGGCGCAGTAGGTAGTGCTGTCGCCTCACAGCAAGAAAGTCGCTGGGTCTGTCGCCTCACAGCAAGAAGGTCCCTGGGTTGCTGGTTCGAGCCTCGGCTCAGTTGGCGCTTCTGTGTGGAGTTTGTATGTTCTCCCTGCGTTCACGTAGGTTTCCTCCGGGTGCTCCAGTTTCCCCCACAGTCCAAAGACATGCGGTACAGGTGAATTGGGTAGGCTAAATTGTCTGTAGTGTTTGAGTGTGTGTGTGAATGTGTGTGTGGATGTTTCCCAGAGATGGGTTGCAGCTGGAAGGACATCCGCTGCATAAAACTTGCTTTATAAGTTGGCGGTTCACTCCGTTGTTGTGACCCTGGATTAATATAGGGACTAAGCCAACAAGAAAATGAATGAATGAATGAACGATCTTGCAATAGTCTGTCAAGGTGGTGCAGTGGGTAGCATGATTGCCTCACAGCAAGAACATTGCTGGTTCAAGCCCCGGCTGGGTCAGTGTGCATTTCTGTGTGGAGTTTGCATGTTCTCCCCGTGTTACAGTGAGTTTTCTCTGGGTGCTCCAGTTTCCCCCACAGTCTAAAGACAGGCAGAAAAGGTGAATTGAATAAGCTAATTTGGCCATAGCGTATGTGTGTAAATGCAAGTGCGCATGTGTCTTTCCCAGTGTTGGGTTGGGCTGGAAAGGCATCCGCCTCGCAAAACATATTGACAATGATCTCAACAGCAGCAAAAGTCTGTAACAAAGTCAAGGAATCAAAGTAAAAAGCAAGCAGTCTAAAATATAGAATGCCAGCTGCTGGACACAAGTGAAATTAAGAACGGAAAATATATTAACAATTTATGTGGCTGGGTGGAATTTAAGAAACACATATGGATAAAAAAATTATTATGTGCTTATTAATACTGAAAATAATAATTAAAAGGATTAAAAGTAAAAGTTTCTGACTGAATGCTTAGATTTTCTTTTAAAGATGTTTTATTCTTATGCATTTTTGTATTTTTTAGGATAAGCATGTATTTAGACAGGAAGTGAAGTTGGACAAGTCTGCGAGCCAGGATTCAAATTTGGGAAGAATAAAAATAAATAAATAAATAAAATAAAAAAAGACTGTGTGTCAGCAAACTACCCACGAGGCTATCAGTGGCCACAGATTTAAACAATTTGATCAATTATAAAGCCCAGGACACACCAATCTGTCATCAAAAAAACTAGCAGTGATGAAAAATGACAATGTTACAAAAATGACTTCAGAAAAGCGCATTAGTCATGTGCACTCAGTTAACAAGATGATTTGTAGAGGAGAATTTTGCTACATGTTGAGTTAATTATGTTATTGATTATGCAAGTTCATTGTTGAATGCATAAATACATCTGTATTTAGAGCCATCATTAAATTTTTATAACAGAATCATTGTGATTCCAATATAAGCCATTAAATTACCCTAAACCCTAAAATGGTGATATTGTGTAGAGTGTTTATAAAAATTTGAGTCAGCATCTATTAGTAAAATAGTTTTAATTGTTGATGATCTTCTGCATGTCACCCTTTACTGTACCTTTCTAAAAATAACAACTAAAAAATTAATGAGCATCTTTATTTGGTATCGTTAAAAAAAGCAATTAAATATATTTTACCTTTTAAATTATGTTATGTTGGATACTTTTGCATTGTAATTAACAATAATCACTAATTACTTTAAATTATCCTTCATAACAAAGTTCACAATAAAACCTCAACTAAACCATTCTGAAACAGATTCTACTATAAGGATAGTTAATCTAAAAATTAACATTCTGTAAACCTGTATGTGTTTTTGTTACCAAATATGAGATATTTTTACAGGAAAACATCACATTTTTGTCATACCATGTGGGTGAAATTAATTTTGGGGTGAATTAACACCCTTTTTACATGCTTCAGATTCACAATAATATAACCGCAACAAGGATTATTTCTCTTCAATGAAAAGGTTTAAGTATTGTGATGAAGGTTCAAATATTTTCAGAGTTAAAATGTATTTTGTTGATATTCGAAACCATCTATAAAACATAGCATAAATTAGTGGATTCATTAATGAATTCATGCATAAAATCCAGTACATTATATTAATTACAAGGGAATCACCAGTGTCTTGCCCAAGAGTAAGAGCAGCTATATAATATGGTATCCAACAAAGGAGATAGATCATCACAACAACCCCTAAGGATTTTGCAGCCTTTTTTTCTGACTTGACCTTTTTGTCTGTGAGTGCATTTATATGCTCAGCTTGATGTTTTGCTAAAAAAAAGATTTTCAGATATAAATAAATGATTAAACAACATGGGGTGACTAAAGTGACTAAGACATCAGTTATTATATATTCCAGCTTAATAAAAAGTATACATTCTCCAATACATGTATGGTTTTTCTCTGGATAGAGTACAGATTCATACAAAATAAGAAAAGAATATATGCTGGAAAACACCCAGTTTACAACAATAGAAAAGACTGCTCTGTTAGTATCAACTCTTGTTGTATATCTCAAAGGGTCATTAACAGCAATGTACCGATCCACAGATATAATAATCAAGTTGCCAAGAGATGCTGTTACAACCACATAGAAAATAAATGGGAATATTGAGCAAAAGATTTCTCCAAAGTACCAGCATGGCTCAATCAGTTTGAGGCCATGTACTGGCATAAGAATCAGTCCAACAATTAGATCAGCCATTGCCAAAGAGAAGATCAGCACATTGGTTGGAGAGTGAAGCTGATGGAAGTGAGCGATAGAGATGATCACCAACAAGTTCAGAAACACAGTTAACACCGATACTGTAGAAATAAATATGTACACAAAAATGAACTCCGCTCCAGGTTTTACATTTCTGGTACAAGACAAGTTGTTGTTTGGAAAGCAGTATTGGATCGTTTCATTGTCCGCGTTTGTCCCTCCCCAGTTAGACATTTTGATGAAAGAAGACTCTGTGCCTCATAAGAAAACTATTCCTAATCCTTATGAGAATATTGGTCAGTTTGGCCTACTAGAGCTCATCACTGACATGACACATCACTGTTTTATACCTAAAGTACAGCTACCACCCTTTCAGAATGATGCTTGATTATGCACCATTCGACACACCTACAAGTTAAATATTCATAGAGCTGTTTAATATATTCAATAATCATGTCACGATGACACAGATCTATTCAAACACTTATAAAAAACTATTTTTGAGAAAAATAGTCTCAAAACGTAACAATTAATAACAAGGTAATTTTCTCATCTTCTATCTCACATAAATGCTAAGGACCTTATAAAGCGACATTCTGATGTATAATACAAAAATAAGACTGAATTGGTCTGTAGCACTTGTAATAAAATGTTGGACTCCCAAAAACAGTATAAAAGAAATTACTGTTGACGATGATCTCAACAGCAGCAAAAGTCTGTGACAGTCAATGAATCACAGGAAAAGCAAGCAGTCTAAAATATAGAATAACAGCTGCTGGACACAAGTGAAATTAAGAATGGAAAATATAACATTTTATATGGCTGGGTGGAATTTAAGAAACACATTCGAGTGAAAAAAAATTATGATATCCTTTATAATACAGAAAATTATAATTAAATGTATTATAATATACATTTTTAAATTATATAAATTATAATATAAATTCAAAAATATTTATAATAAAATAAAAAAAGATTTACCTTAAATTTTTAAATACTTTTATTTAATAAACAATTAAATATATTATATAGAATTTAGACAAGAAGTGAAGTTGGAGAAGCTTGCGAGTCATGACTTGAATTCCAGACAGATAAAAAAAAAATACAGCAAACTGCCCACGAGGCTATCAGTGGCCAACGATTTTGAACAATTTCATCTATTGTTAATAGATGCTTGTCATCAAAAAACTAGCGGTGATAAAAACTGACAATGTTACCAAAATTATCTCTGAAAAGCTGATCAGTCAGGCGCACTCAGTCAACAAGATGATTTGTAAAGAGCATTTTGCAACATGTGCTGTTAATTGTGTTGATCATTATTCAAGTTTCTTCATTATTTGATCTATAAATACATCTGTATAATAGCAAGTCTCAGAGCCAAAAACAACTTCATGAACAATAATGTTGCTATTGAAGCTTTTAAAAGAAATATAGCCCTAGCCTGTTATTTTTACTCATGTACAATTGTAATGTTTGCACATCTCAGTAGATGTAAATATCTAGCTTATTTGCAGTTGGGATTGCTGCAGATATACAGCTTTTTCCTTATACAAGTCCAAAATGCAGATGCTAGTTTGCAAGGGGCTGTTTTCCATTTTTGGTGTTGTTCAAGCACCAGACAACATGAGGTATTGACACAGTTGGCCTTCATCGCCACTAGTTCTTTCTGGCTGCTTCTACTTGTTCTTATATGAATAAAAAAATGATCTCTGTATCAAAAAAATATTCTCATACAAGTCAGCGTCATTTTTACCCTGACATGGTACTCATAACATCACAAGAGCACACAGATTAACATGGTTCAATGTGGTAAAGGCCAAAAAAGTGAACTAGAAACCCCTGATCAAGAAAGAAGCAGACAACAAAGATAACCCAGACTGCAGCAACATGCATTGCTTTCTAATAGATAAACCACTAATGATACAATACATATCATAAAACAAACTATGTAAACTATTTATATATTATTTATCATGTGTTTATGTCCATATAAACATTCTCAAAGCCTTAATCTAAACAATATAAGCTTGTTAATCTTGTACAGATCCAAGTGTTTGGTATGATAATGAGTAGGCCTATCTCATTCCCAGTGGGAGAGGTTAGATCATTGATTGCATCAGATCAAGTCTGTTTACCTAACACCTCAGATTGTTAGGCTTCAACAGCACGTTTAATGAGACTGACAAACGCTAACAGACACTCAGGGGAATTACACATTTTGACATGAAAACAGCGTCCAGTACAAAAGTGCTGATTGGTCACAAATGAGTTCACAGAACCATTGCATCATTAGTCAACCACAAAGGGCACTAGAGACCAGGTTGTACCTCACCTTTTTTTCATTTAGCATAAAAATGAATGACATGTCAATTAAGACACCAAACAGTTGTAACACGTACTAATGGCCTCTCTAGAGCATTACGCATGTTGTCAGATAAATAACAAGGTCAAAAAAAGTAAAAGTGTTGATTAGTCACAAAAGAAAACTGGAGATGATGTTGAACTTTGAGGATGACCTTTGACAATGATTTCTTTAGACACGTACCTTCATGATGTAAGGATTGCTCCAATGATGATTTGGTCCTTTTTTCCTTAGAGATGATGAATCTGCTGATCACCTATCTCAACACAACTTACCTTCTGGCCTGGGGTTGTCATACACAAGATATTCACATTACAGAGTTTCCACACACACTGTTCAAACTAATGACACGAGAATATGTAAATGTGACCTTTCCAATTCCAAATCTAGTTGATTAAATATTTTATAGCTGAAACAATTATATAATTAGAGCATATCCATGTTAACTATTTACTAAATTATGATTTTAATTGTTATTTTAAACAGTACACTACAAGTAATATATGTACAATTAAATTTAATTTATGGGGATAAACTAATTTACACGCAAACATTTATACATCTATTTTTATAACTATACATTTTTTACATTATTCAGCAGGCCAGGAACGTAAAATGTTATAACAATCACTTAAAAGTTTTTTGTGGAAACCCTGGTAAAAGTGAAGTGTGCAATTTTACTAATTGCAAAATACTTCAATAACAGTCAAAAGTATAGAGACAATTTTAAATCAGTCATTTATGGTTAAACTTTAGGACTCCAGAGTGCTCACGAAACAGTGAAATGCTATTTGACCTTTGTCATTTATTCCATTGGTTGAGCTAAATTATTGTGCAGCTAAACTGTTTAAACCAGGGCTCTTCTATTGACAAACAAAGCTGTAAATCATTTTCATGCGGCCAGAATTTACAATGGTTTATGGATGTTACAGGGAGGAAATTTTTACATGGTTAACTACTTATAGCAACATTTGGTATTAGGAACAAAGAGGTGTTTAAAAACAAGGGTCTAGTGTACTTAATACATATAATACACTACTATGTTAAATATCTAAGACAGTGTGTGTGTGGGGGGGGGGTGTCAAATTTATATATAGATACATTTCAGTCAATGCTCAAATATATACTACATTATATAGAACCATTAAAAATCTTTACTCTTGCACAGGAGGTTTACACATGGTGCACCTCACATTTTCAATTTGATAATGCAACTTTCTGATGAGCCAAACTGAATAGCCCCGGTTTAGAATCTATCATTATTTTTTTTAACAGTAACATTTTAGCCACCAGTATTACAGATATTATATTACACACTTCACCTTAAATCAAATATGTTGTGATAATTCACTCAAAAATTTATATCAATTATTTTTCTTTTCTGATCAACAAATTTAGATATTTTGAAAAATTAACTAATTTTATTGACTCCAATTTTATGGGTGAACTATAATTTTGACTTTAAAAAAATATTCCTACTTGATTACTGGCTTGCATCGTGGTGGATCACCTTCTGGAGATGTTTAGGGTGTTCTTCCAGACCTCTGTCATCTAATATGAACCTTTTGGCCAGTGAATCTCATGAAGGCCTGTTTTGCTGGAACCTAGAAGAGAGAAAATTATTACATAATACATTTGTGCTAACTTATTTAACTAACCTTTATAATGTACAACAAAGCCTATTTGTGTCTAATTTTAATTAATGCCAAACTACAATAAACATTTTACTTACCTCAGACACAAACTGTTTCCTCTTATTTGCACTTTTACTGTCTCAGAGTCTCAAGGATGGCTAAGTCTCACCAAAATATCAGACCCTACGAGGCATAACCACGAGAATTGTCAGACACTAAAACAATAAGCTTTTTAATCTGAAAAGAAGATTGAGGTTGTGTCTGAGCAGATGACTGGCCTTCGGGTAAACATTGACACATTAAATGAAAAGATGAGATAATAAAATATATAAATATAGTCAAAAATATAGTATAAAATATAGTCAAATATCTAAATTTATTCCTCATTCATTTAAGAATGTGATGCCTTTCTTTTTGGGAACATCTTTGAAATTTATTGATAACTTGAAATTGGAGTCAGGTTAAATTTTGAGCTTGAAACAATTAAAAATAAATACAAATATTTCTTTTTGCATGTGCTAAAAAGGCTTACACACATTTAACCCTTACCCATGATATTATATCCGTCATTGGACTAATAACTTAGATGGACCCTTACAGGAGCTCGCGATAGCCTAAAGCAGCCAAGACGTCGTGTAATGGCGGTTCTGTGAGATAAAAAGAAAATTGACATAAAATGTTAGGTTCTCACTCACCTCTTTACATTTACAAACAAGTTACAGTAAGTGAGGTACACACACACGTTTTTACTGTGTTTATACAGTGTTTTAGGAACTCCGGACAAAAACCTGCAACATTATAAACCAAATTAAACTTCTAAAATGTCTCCACGTAACGTAACTTTATGGAGTGTTCCCGCGCTTGAGGAAGGTAAACCAGACGAGCTAACAACAATACACAACTAACTGGCTTTACATTTACAGATAAACGATTCTGTACACTTACAGATTCTACAGCTTAGGAAATAAACACTGTCTCACTAAAATCAGCATCTATTTGGAGTACATCTTGATGGGAGCTCGAGTTTTCGAAGTTATTTAATGAGACGGCCTAACGTACGTTAAGTTTGATGGTGGGCCGGTCAGTTACTTTTAGACCGTTTGAGAATTTCATAAAACCCACAAGTGTACAACCCATAACAATGTTAGCTTAATAACATTCTTAAACGTTTAAAAAATACATTTACACAAGTCATAATAGCCGTATTTTTAGTTAAACCGGTAGATTACCTGAAACATGAGGTTATAAAGCAAAGTCTGAGGCGATTCTCCCGCTCAAAATTCTCACTCTCTGCTGCTCTCGAAGAAAATGTCGCGAGAGCTCCACCTAAAGGGAGACTACATTAACTGGCAAGTGCGCTGATACATTGTTTATTTTTAAGTTTTATATTTAATAAAACGATTGTATTTCAATGCTGAAATCGCGAAAAAAAATTATAGTGGGCTATAAAAAAAACGTATTTTATTCTATTGTTTATATTTGACAGTTTGTGGTCACGTGATCAGTCAAACGCTGATGATTGGTGTGAACGAACGAGATAATTTCTACAAAATGATTTCTAAATTGGTTCACATCAGGGTTCTGAATTCATATTTTGAACAACGTATTAGTAGACCTTAGTAAGCTGGTAGAATTTTAAGTCACTCATTATAGAATTGTATATTGAAAGTGTATGGCAGATTTGTGCAACAAACTGAGGTAGGACATTTGGTTGTAACTATTTACTAGGCATATAATGTATGCCTACACGTAGACTATACGGTATAAACTATGTTTACTATAGTTAGTATAGTGTTAAAGAGATAGTTTATCCAAATATGAAGTGTCATTATTTCTCTCTTCACTTTTTCCAAACCTTTTTGTCTTTCTTAATCTTCTGATGTACAAATAAAAATAAAGTAAAAACTGGAAATACTTTGACCTCCATATTTGTTTTTCTTACTATTGATGTGAATGGTTACATCTTTTTTAATCAAAACATATTTTGTGTTCAACAGAATAAAGAAACTCAATAAAGTTTATAACCACTTGAGGGCGAAAAAGAGTAAATTTTCATTTTTGGGTGAACTATCACTTTAAGCAACTAACCAACAGTGCATTCATAAGAGGTAATCGTGATCCACCCTTTAAAAAAACACCTCACATGGTTTTCACTTTCAGTAACTGCAGAGTCCCACTAGAAATTGTCTATTTGGTTTGTTTCGTCTGTAGTGAATTGATCTGAAACTTCAAATGATTTCAATATGTCAGAAGGTAAGTTGTTTTTTTATGTTGTATTTTTTCACAAATTGAAGGCTAAGTCAAAAGAATCTCAACTGAGTGCATCGGTGACTCACTGGTGTTATCAAACAGAGATGCTGTTTACAACTGATTTCAGTGTGTGTCAAGATCTTAAGTCTGATTCAAAGGAAATATACATATTGATGTTAATATTTTTTACTCCAAAAATTTGTGTGGGGGCATACTTTTATTAGCATGTACTAATATATATTTTTTAATCAGTATCTGTTAACATTTAAATACGATAAACAACTGCACGTGAACTACATGTTTCCAAAGCAATTCATCCTCTACAGGCCATAACATGAATAATAATTGCTATGCTATTAGATAGGTTTTCCAGTGCTGGGTAGCTGCTGAAAGAGCATTTGTTGTGTAAAACATATGCCGGAATAATTGCCGGTTAATTCCGCTGTGGCAACCACTGATAAATAAGGACTAACCCGAAGGAAAATGAATGAATAAATATTATTAGATAATGCTGAAACTTATATTAACAAACCTTGTGTATTATATTACAGGACTTCACAACATTGAGGAGGACTTTAATGGACCCCTAACATTTTTTTCTGATAGGGGCAAACAGCTGGTGTAAGTGTATGATGGGAAATAAAATTATTGGGTTTGAACATTTCCTACCAGAGTATTCTACATATGCTGATGAGGTATCATTGCAAATAAATGGCCAATGGATTACTGTTATGCAAGAGCCTCAGACTATAATGCAAAGGTTTAAAGAGACATCATCTAGATGTGCTTGGATGATTTTATTTGTCCTGCAGTGTGACCATGTTTCTCAGAAGGATGTGGACGCATTTGCTCATTTCCAGCAGAGGTTTGGAAAAGAAATGGAGGAAAATACTGTTGTAGTTCTGTTCAATATTAAAGATAACACATCAGCAGGGGCAAATAATGAGAACCTAGAAATGACACTTAGTCGGTATGGAAGGAAGTTGTGGATTTTTAACAAAAATCTGGAGCAAAGTGAAGTGATTAGACAACTAATTGCACATAAAAAATGTGCACCTGTGTCAAACAATGCTGATAGGTAAGACAAAAAATCTGAGTTTATTGCTTCAATGCATCCATCAATGCATCCATTAATTTATAGAGTTTCTCCCTAAATGCAGATCATCACATCAGACAACATCTGTGGAAAGAGAGATTCCTAAACCACGAACGGCAATTGCACGTGATCAGATGTCAGGTAATGTCCATTATAATTTTGAATTCTTTACAAAGATAACTAAACAATAAGCATTTCTGGTTTCAATAATGCCACACACAGACACAAACAAAAATGTTTCAAAATACACATTTTTATGACTATAATGATTTCAATAATATAAGAAAAACCTACATGATTGCAAAAAATGTTTTTCTTACAAGATTGTGTCTTGTTTCCAGTCCAAATATCTAAAAACTTAGGCCCATAGCCAGGGGGGGGTTGGTTGTTGCTAGATTGGATCTGTTTGCACCCAGAAGTTAACAAGAATTATTTATATTATTTATTAAATTTCCCATAAATTGTATTTTATTAATGTCCACCCCAACCCTAAACCCAACCGTCACAGTAACGTAAAAACAGTAGTTGTTCCAAGTATTATTTATGCTATATATTAAATTACCCAATAAATTGTATTTTTAACACCTACTCCCACCCCAACCCTAAACCCAACCATCACAGTACTATAAAAATATTAAGTATTGTTATACAGTGCCATAAATACATGCTGTTAATGTACATATCACGCTTCCGGCTGGCCGCAAATCCAATCTAGACTTTACCAGGGGGGTTGGGGTGGTTCAAAAAACCCAAACCCCACTGACAAAGATCCAGAATTTGTCCCATACATTAGCTCATTTTTGCTATTTTGACTGTTATTCCATCATAAATTGTGAAATTAACTCATCTATAAAGGCTTTAAGACCAAGCGGAGTGCACTGTTGGCTGTCATGAATTCAGCAAATCAGTTTTGGCCAATGCAAACAATTAGTTTTCATGAGTTCAACATCTGTTCAAGAAAACATGCAATCGGACAAAAGTCAAGTCATTTTTCACTACTGTCCTACTGTTTTGTTGTTAAATAAAGAATACATTTTACAAGTAACTTTTATACTGTATCTTTGACCTTTTTCGTGAAACAAAAAATGATCAATTAAAAGATGTGAAGCACCAAAGGCCCTTGATAAAGGAAATTTAATACTAATCAGGCTATTGTTACCCATGAAATTTTAATTGACCTTATTTACAAGAGAAAAATCTATAAAACTTGTGAACCTCTACATCATTATTGTTTATTTGTTTATTTAAATGGCCAAATTCTAACTAAGGAAAATTGCTTAAAATGTCATTAACTGCAGTATTTAAAACTCATAATTGAATAGAAAATGAGGCAAATAACTGCAAAAAGGTCCACTTTTTGAGAAAAATGAAAAGCCCCTTTCACATGGCTGGCTACGGGCCTGAATCAAGAAGCATTTTCTAGACAAGCAAGAAATAATACCCTAAAATTAAATTAGATTTTTCTTAAAAGAAGCAAAATAATCTTGCTTTTCTTTTTGACATAATATTGTTTTGCCCACCCCATTGGCCAATTATTTTGCTTCTTTTAAAAAAAACTCAGTTATTTTTGCATAATATTTCTAAAAACAAGACAATAATTTTTGCCTGTCCAGAAAAATGCTTCTTGATTTAAGAAGTTTTACATATTTGGTCAAGAAACAAGAAAAAACTTCAAGTAAGAAAGTAATGCTTTATCTTGATATATATGCATAACAAAATTTATGACAAGAACAAATATGATCTACAAACACACATGAAACAGTAATGCAGCGCTGGCTTTAAACATTGAGTCAGTAGATGTCAGATATTGTATTATTCAAGTAACCCAATTCTCCTTATAGAGATATAAACATTTTACTGCCAAAACATTCTTAAGTTAAATTGTATAACATGTTATGTGTTGTGTTATGTTGTTTTTCTGTTGTGTTATATTGTTTTATGTGTTATGTTATGTGCTATTTAATGTTTTGTATGTTATGTTTTGTTGTATTATGCTGTTTTATTTTGCTTAATGTCTTGTATTATGTTACGTTGTTTTATAATTTATATGTTATGTTTTATGTGTTGTGTGTGTTTGTGTGTGTGTGTTGTGTGTGTGTGTTTTGTTTTTAAGGAGGTAAACAAGCTGCTGTCAAGAAGAAAAACACTTTGACTATTGTCCTGCTGGGTCAGACTGGAAGTGGAAAAAGCGCTACTGGAAACACCATCCTGAGAAAACAGCACTTTGAATCACGTGCCAGTTCAGTGCCAGTAACAAAGGTGTGCCAGTTGGGAGAGGAATCAGTATGTGGAATCAGGATCAAAGTAATTGACACCCCTGATTTCTTCGACGAAGACTTAAAAAACCAAACAGAACAGATAAGAAAGTACAAAGAGCTCACTCAGCAAAGACCTGATGTATATTTGCTGGTGCTGGAGCTCGGACGTTATACAGACGGAGAGAGGGTGATAGTTCAGAACATACAAAGATTGTTTGGTGCTGAACTGGTAAAAGAAACCATCATTCTGTTCACCAGCAAGGAGAAATTAAGAAGAAAATCTCTATCAGATTACATTAAAAACACTGACACGCAACTGCAAGAGTTGGTCAGATCCTGTGGATCGCGGTGTCATGCATTTAACAACAACGATGACAATCTTTCTCAGGTGGAGAGACTGTTAGAAATGATTCTGGAAATGAAGAGGAAAAATGGATGTACTGACATTCCTGAGGACTACTCATTTAATAAGAAATCCGAGAAAAAAGAGTGCAGAATCCAATAGAGTCTGACAAGGGATTCTTTCCTTAGACAGTTCACCCCAATGAACATTTTCTCAGCATTTACTCACAAAAGGGCTTCTAAACTTTTATGAAGTACTTATTTAGAAAGCACAACAACATGGTCTGAGAAATGTTGAAAATCAAAAGTTATTCTCATCCATAGTAGGAATAAAAATACTTATAGCATTGGTAGTTCACACTAGATTTGTAGTTCGGTTCAGTTGCAGAAATGTAGTTCTCTGAACCAACTAAACCAAACTACAAATCCCAGAATTCATTGCTCCAATCACTCCTTCCACAGATGAAAGTCATTCTGACACTGATATACACACACACAGCTGAAACTCATCTTTATTAATTACCTGGACTTTGTATACACCACACTTTCACACAAACTTTGCTGAGTCTTGTTATCCTATAGCATCACGAAGCATTAATCCTGTCTAGTCTTTTGTGTTTTGATTCTTGCCTTGTTTTCCTGTTATTGATTCTTTGCCGCCTGGACTATCCATTCGCCTGTATTTTTGACTACAATCTTGGATTAGCTTCATGCTCCTGTTTGCTACCTGACAGTTGCGTGCCTAACTACTGTTATAAACTAGCAGTATAAACTGTTATAAACTAATAAACTGCGTGTGGATCTTCAACTCCATTATCCAGCACTCCTATGTTACAATACCATTATAGCCTATAGCTACCAGTTTTCATATCCCTTATTCCCAATGTTGACAGGTATGGTTCAACAGAAGAAAGAAACTCAAGAAAAGGAGGGTTTCCACTGAACCATTCCTTTAAATAGTTAATTTTTTGTGTTTTTAATTATATTTAGATTTAAGGTATTAATTTAGCTGTGATCAAATCACTTTTAAATTGCATGTCAACACTGTAAAGCAAATTAAAGATGTGCATTTTCTCTAAAAAGACACCTTTTCAGTTGTTATCGTGCTTTACACTCTCAGAAATAAAGGTACAAGAGCTGTCACTGGGGCAGTACCTTTTCAAAAGGTACATATTTGTACTTGAAGAGTCCATATTGGTACCTCAAAGGTACATTTTAGGCATGTTTGGGTACTGATATATACCTTTGAGGTGCCAATAAGGACTTTTTGGGTACAAATATGTACCTTCTGAAAAGAAACTGCCCCAGTGACAGCTCTTGTACATTTATTTCTGAGAGTGTATTTATCAAAGGTATTAAAAAATGTTAGGAAAAGAGAAACTGAGGCAAATATATTTGGACTGTAACACAATATTATTAACAGCATACATTGTTGTGGACATCAAATTGCAATTTTTTTTTTTTTTTGTTAGAGGAAAAATTTTGAGAATGTGGTCTTACAAGACTGCATACTGCTTCAGATGTTTTGTCATAAAGTTTTTTTTTTTGTAAGCTTCTGGCCTGAGAATGCAAACTATTGTTTACTTATTATCTAAGTCCATAATTAAGATTCCTTTAGATTTAAAAAAAAAAATATTCTGAGGTTCTTCCTTATGAGAAGCAAGCTGAAGAATTTCTTCCTTCTACAAAAAACATCCTGCATAGCAGCCGATCAGCAGAGAACATATACAATGTTTTACGGGTCAAGAAGTTAATATGCAGTTTTGTGCATGAACTTGAAAATTGAGTGGTCAAGTGTCAAAAATATGCTTGAGGAATATTTATAATGTAAGAAGAGTTATACTTTTATGACTTTTGTAGGTTTATGTATTTAATTATGAATTTTAACATATAAATATTTTACTACCTGACATAAATGGTCACCTATCTAAGTTTTAGGAACCACAAATAATAATTTGACTTTTGATCTTTTGGTATTAGAAGTGGCTTATATGAAAGGCAAAGGCATCTAGATTACGCTTATTTGACCAAAATAAATGTCCAGTATAGAATATAAAGTTATGGTGCAGTGGAAAAAGAGTTAATATTGTGTCTGACTCCCATGACAACTTTGACATTGAATATTAATTGTCATATTAGTATAGGGGTAGTATAAACCACCCCAATTTTTTGATCTTGAAAAAAACAAACAAATTCAAGATCAAAACAAGCTTGTATTACCATAGCAATTATAAACAGTGGACCTGGAGGATTTTTTATTACCTTTTTTTTAACATCAAAGTGGGCGGTATATGGGTTGCTGAAGACACTGTATAAATGAAAGGACGGAAAGGAGAGCAGAACAAACTCTTAACAGGAGGAGACTCACTCATGGCCTACGAGACAGAGGATCAGGAGACTCAATACTGCTTTCCTGACATCAACTCATCATGTGTCAAGAGACAACGCTCCAGTCATGAATACAATGTCATGTATGTGTTATTTTCACTGCTGTCAGCATGGACTGTGTTTCTGAACCTGCTGGTGATCATCTCCATCTCTCACTTCAAGAAGCTTCACACTCCAACCAACATGATTATTCTCTCTCTGGCTGTAACTGATATGTTTGTTGGACTTATTGTGATGCCTGTGAAGGCCATCAAGTTAATTGAGAGGTGTTGGTACTTTGGAGACACTTTCTGTGGACTCTTTATAATAATAATTGGGGTGATTTTTTCTGCCTCTCTTACTAATTTAGTTTTAATCGCTGTTGATCGATATGTGGCTGTGTGTCACCCTTTACTGTACCCACAGAAAATTACCATGGCTAAAATGTTAATGAGCATCTGTCTGAGCTGGCTTTATTACTCTGCTTATAACACTGCCCTTATAATTAATAATGGATATTTTGACACTTCAAACAGAACAGACGTGTGTTATGGAGAGTGTCCAGTCATGGTGAGTTTTAGTTGGATACAAACTGATTTGTTCATGTCTTTTATTTTTCCCTGTATCATAATGATCACTTTATATTCAAGGATTTTCTTTGCTGTACATCAGCAAGTGAAGGTTATAAACTCTCTGATGAAGCGTGATAAATGTGTAACAGAGGGTTCAGTGATGAGGAAATCTGAGAGTAAAGCTGCTCTTACTTTAGGAATTATTGTGTCAGTTTATCTGCTTTGCTATATCCCTTACTATATCTGTTCTTTAGTCGTAAACTCTTCCACAGCTTTGAATGTTTTGACATGGACCGTGTATGCAAACTCAGGTCTGAATCCTCTGGTTTATGCATTATTTTACCCCTGGTTTAAAAAGACAGCTAAACTCATCTTAACTCTAAAAATATTTCAGCCAGCATCCTCTCTGATCAATATTTTTACAGAAAATGAATTGTGACTAATGTTTTAAAGCTGTCTCTCATAATGGTAGATATTATTGTGTGTGATTCTTTTAATATCATTAATTAAAACAACTACAAGTGAACATAAGATCACTTTTCAGAATAATGAAACAGAATTGGTAAAGATATCATTGTTTCTTTAGTTTCTAACATCTACATTCATTATATTGTATGTTCATGTGGGGCATTGGAGATGTTGGAGGTAAATAATGTTCATATAAAAAAGCAAGTCATTGATGTTTTAGGATGTTCATTTATTTGTGATCAAGCCATTATGTTAATTCTTTTTCAATCAACAGGTCACACATGAAAGCAGAACTCATTAAAGCTGTGTTACGGTTCTGAGTCTGTGTGTGTGTGTAATCTTTCACACCTTTAATGAATAGTTCAGTGGCAAATCTAGAATATCAGCAATATCAATTACACATGAATAAAAAATGTTATAGTTGGTCCTCAGAGTTGTTACATCATTGATGTTTTCACTGATCAGTAAGAGTAAACAAAGACAGACCAACCCATGTAACTGCCTGGAGAGAGGCCTGCTGTACCAAACTGCCATTTTACAAGCCCACAGTACAACAATACAACAAATTATATTCATCCATCCATATAGATGGATGGATGGATGGATGGACGGACAGAGAGATAAAAAGATAAATATATAGATGGATACATACACATATATACACTGAACAAAAATATGAACAACGCTTTTGTTTTTGCTCCAATTTGTGATGCACTGAACTCAAAGATCTATATACACAAATGGCCTATTTCTCTCAAATATAAACCAAGGTGCCCTTTTATTCGCTTTGACTCGTTGGATGAAAACACAGCTTTATTCGCACGCCTTTTATGAGATAATCCAGTTTTGTGCATAAAGTTCATTCACATTTTTGGATGGAACTATAGCTAATGATCACCCTAGGTACACCTCCTGTGCTTTATTCAGTGTTAAATGCTAATAATGTGAGCTTGAATGCCATTTTACTGGACATTTATTGCCTTACTACTGAAGGCAGCAGCAGATCGTTCACCTCCGATCTGGAAAATAAAATAAACCGTTTGAAACTGAACTTTAGAGCTGTGACTCAAACACAGATCAGTGAATCAGCATCTACATTTGATAATACTAAATAGGTTTTATATATTAGATTATAAACAGTTTCATGAGTGAGTGCAAATTCAGTGCTTCTGAATGGCTGTGTTTAAACTTATGTTGTGTTTCATCTGGAACAAATAGCCAAATTAAAAGGACAGAAAGGAGAGCAGAACAAACTCCTAACAGAAGGAGACTAACTTATGGCCTATGAGACAGAAAATCAGGAAAGTCAATACTGCTTTCCTGACATCAACTCATCATGTGTCAAGGAAAAATACTCAATACTCCAGTCATGAACATATTATCACATATTTGTTTATTTCATTGCTGTACAACAATTATCAGATCTCTCCAGAGATGTTCAATAAGATTAGGTCTGGGCTCTGGCTGGGCCACTCAAGGAAATTTCCTAAGTTGTTGTGAAGCCAGTCCATTGATATTTTGGTGGTGCGCTTTGGGTCATTGTCTTGCTGGAAGATGAATCGTCGCCCTAGTCTGAGGTCGAGAGTTGATAGGTCAAGAGCACTCTGAAGCAGGTCTTCATTCAGGATGTCTCTCTACATTGCTGCATTCATCTTTCCCTCTATCCTGACTAGTCTTCCAGTTCCTGCTGCTGAAAAACATCCCCACAGCATGATGCTGCCACCACCATGCATCGCTGTAGCGATGGTTTTAGCCTAGTGATGAGCGATGTCTGGTTTTCTCCAATTGTAACACCTGGCATTCACTACAAAGAGCTCAATTTTAGTCACATCGGACTAAAGAATTTTATTTCTTATGGTCTGAGAGTCCTTCGGATGTCTTTTGGCAAATTCCAGGCGGGGATTGACTTCAGTCTGGCCACTCTACCATACAGGTCTGATTGGTGGATTGCTGCACAGATGGTTGACCTTCTGTAAGGCTCTCCTCTCTTCACAGAAGAACGCTGGAGCTCAGACAGACTGACCATCGGGTTATTGATCACCTTCCTGACCAAGGCCTTTTTCCCCCAATCACTTGCCATAGATGGCCGGCCAGCTCTAGAAAGAGTCCTGGTAGTTCCAAACGTCTTCCACAGAAGATGGAGGCCACTGTACTCATTAAAACTTTCAGAGCAGCAGAAATGTTTCTGTAACCTTCCCCAGCTTTGTGCCTTGAGACCTCACAGGTCTACAGACAATTCCTTTGTCTTCATGCTGAGTTTGTGCTTTGACATGCACTGTCAACCCTGGGACCTTATATAGACAGGTGTATGCCTTTTCAAATCATGTCCAATCAACTGAATTTAGCACAGGTGAACTCCAATGAAGCTGCTGAAACATCTCAAGAATGATCAGTGGAAACAGAATGTACCTGAGCTAAATTTAGAGCTTCACGGCAAAGGCTGTGAGCACTGATGTACATGTACTTTTTTAGGTTTTTATTTTTAATTTGCAACAATTAAAAAAAAAACTTTATAATGGGGTTTTGTGCGTAGAATTTTGAGGAAAAAATGAATTTAATCAATTTTGGAATTAGACTGTAACGTAAACAAATGTGGAAAAATGAAGTGCTATGAATACTTTTTGGATGTTCTGTACATCTCTGTCACTTAAGCGACCATATTTAAACCACAAGCAGCAAAATAAGTAAGAAACGGACGTCTTTGGAAAGTTTCTTTGCTAAGGGAAAAAAACCCAGTGAAGGACATACAAACTGCCAAGGAATGGATCCGCAACCCATTTGTCAGCAAATCAGGTGAATCCACCATGTCTGTGCAAGAAGATCAACTGATGGAGGTCGCAAATTACTGTGGCCTCTTAGGTGCCGTTCGCATATTGCATCTTGTTTTAGTCAGCACTCGTTGTTTGCCATCGGCCTGGTGTGTAGCGACCTTAAGAGCATTGTAATAATGTGGGTGGCATTTCATGCTTGTTAGATCCTTGTATGTTTAAACTTGGTGGCTGAGTATTTTACTGTGTAAAAACAAAACTTGCTCCCACAATGCATGTTCCATTTAGTATGCTAAAAGGGTATTGCGGTAAGTAATGTGGATGGCGTATCACTTTTAACCACTTTATCCTTTAATAGATAAAACAATAAATGTAGTATTTAGCTTTAAAAATAGAGAAGAAAAACAACTCAAGATTAAAACAAGCTTGCATTACTATAGCAACTATAAACAATAGACTGGGGGGATTTACATTTTCTATTTTTTTTTTTTTTTTTAACTTCCAATTGGGCGGATCAATCTGATCCAGACACTGTATAAATGAAAAGACAGAAAGGAGAACAGAACAAACTTTTAACAGGAGGAGACTCACTCATGGCCTACGAGACAGAGGATCAGGAGACTCAATACTGCTTTCCTAACATCAACTCATCATGTGTCAAGGAGAAGCGCTCCAGTCATGAATACAATATCATGTATGTGTTCTTTTCACTGCTGTCAGCATGGACTGTGTTTCTGAACCTGCTGGTGATCATCTCCATCTCTCACTTCAAGAAGCTTCACACTCCAACCAACATGATTATTCTCTCTCTGGCTGTAACTGATATGTTTGTTGGACTTATTGTGATACCTGTGAAGGCCATCAAGTTGATTGAGAGGTGTTGGTACTTTGGAGACACTTTCTGTGGACTCTTTATAATAATAATTGGGGTGATTTTTTCTGCCTCTCTTAGTAATTTGGTTTTAATTGCTGTTGATCGTTATGTGGCTGTGTGTCACCCTTTGCTGTACCCACAGAAAATAACCATGGCTAAAATGTTAATGAGCATCTGTCTGAGCTGGCTTTATTACTCCGCTTATAACACTGCCCTTATAATTAATAATGGATATTTTGACACTTCAAACAGAACAGACATGTGTAATGGAGAGTGTCCAGTCATGGTGAGTTTTAGTTGGATACTAACTGATTTGTCCATGTGTTTTATTTTTCCCTGTCTCATAATGATCACTTTATATTCAAGGATTTTCTTTGCTGTACATCAGCAAGTGAAGGTTATAAACTCTTTGATGAAGCGTGATAAATGTGTAATGAAGGGTTCAGTGAAGAGGAAATCTGAGAGAAAAGCTGCTCTGACTTTAGGAATCATTGTGACCATTTATCTGCTTTGCTATATCCCTTACTATATCTGTTCTCTAGTCATAATCTCTTCGACAGCTTTAAATGTTTTGACATGGACCATGTATGCAAACTCAGGTCTGAATCCTCTGGTTTATGCATTATTTTACCCCTGGTTTAAAAAGACAGCTAAACTCATCTTAACTCTAAAAATATTTCAGCCAGCATCCTCTCTGGTCAATATTTTCACAGAAAATGAATTGTGACTAATGTTTTAAAGCTGTCTCTCATAATGGTAGATATTATTGTGTGTGATTCTTTTAATATCACTTACCAGAACAACTACAAGTGAGCATAAGATCACTTTTCAGAATAATGAAACAGAATTGGTAAAGATATCATTATTTCTTTAGTTTCTAACATCTACATTCATTATATTGTGTGTTCATGTGGGGCATTGGAGATGTTGGAGGTAAATAATGTTCATATAAAAAAGCAAGTCATTGATGTTTTAGGATGTTCATTTATTTGTGATCAAGCCATTGTGTTAATTCTTTTTCAATCAACAGGTCACACATGAAAGCAGAACTCATTAAAGCTGTGTTACGGTTCTCAGTCTGTGTGTGTGTAATATTTCACACATTTAATGAATGGTTCAGTGGCAAATCTAGAATATCAGCAATATCAATTACACATGAATAAAAAATGTTATAGTTGGTCCTCAGAGTTGTTACATCATTGATGTTTTCACTGATCAGTAAGAGTAAACAAAGACAGACCAACCCATGTGACTGCCTGGAGAGAGGCCTGCTGTACCAACACTGCCATTTTACAAGCCCACAGTACAACAATACAACAAATTATATTCATCCGTCTATAAAGATAGATAGATGGATGGATTGATGGATGGATGGATGGATGGACGGACAGACAGAAATATAAATAGATAAATAAATAGATTGATACATAAACCTATATACACTGAACAAAAATATGAACAACATTTTTGTTTTTGCTCCAATTTGTGATGCTCTGAACTATATACAAAATAGATCTATGTACACAAATGGCCTATTTCTCTCAAATAATGTTTGCACATTTGTCTAAATTAGCCATAAATACATTATGCAACTTCTTTGCGGTTTCAGCAAGGTACCAAGTCAAAAAGAGCAAGAAGATCGCATACGATATTAGGCCAAAGCTCACAATTCATGTGCTCACATTATATGATCTGATTGCTCAGCAGTTGATTAAATGCTCACATTGTACATTTAAAGGGCACCTATGGTGAAAAATCTACTTTTCAAGCTGTTTAGACATATATATGTGTAGGTACAGTGTATAGACCGTCATCTTGAGGTGATATAAACACACCCAGTCCTTTTTTTTCAATTTAACAATATAAAAACGGTGGATCAATTGGAGCGGTTTTCAGACCGACCGCAACTTGACGTAGGAGAGCAGTCCCCCCGCCCACCAAATTGACTGACAGCTGCGTATTAACATGTCCCGGTAGTCACGTGTATAATCATATCAACAAGACAGGATGTGCGCTAAGCAACAGGGAATAAATAGTCTGTTCAGTTTGCTAGGATCATCAATCATCATCAAATGTGATCAAGAGTGAGTTTTACAAATTTAAAACGTTTTAAAACAGTGCATGTGTGTAATGAAGTAGAGCAATTTACTTCAGCTTTACTCCATCAGCACAGCTGTGTGTCAGAACAATTATAAAAGAGGACGCTTCAATCCCAATTGTGGACATTAAATCTGGTTTATTTTGTACATTAACATAACAGATGTCCATACAGCAGTGGAGATTAACCTGTATCCTGTCACATTTGCATGCAAAAAGAGTGCAAAGCTAAACGTGCGCAGTCTTTGTGAAGCTGCTGAAACATCTCAAGAATGATCAGTGGAAACAGAATGTACCTGAGCTCAATTTAGAGCTTCAAAGCAAAGGCTGTGAACAGTGATGTACATGTACTTTTTTCACATTGTCATTATGGGGTTTTATGTGTAGAATCTTGAGGAAATAAATGAATTTAATCCATTTTGGAATTAGACTGTAACGTAAAAAAAATGTGGATAAAAGTGAAGCGCTATGCATACTTCTCGGATGCTCTGTACATCTCGGTCACTTGAGCGCACAAATTTAAACCACAAGCAGCAAAAAGAGTAAGAAACGGACGTTTTTGAAAAGTTTTTTTGCTAAGGGGAAAAAACCCAGTGAAGGACACACAAACTGCCAAGAAATGGATCCGCAACCCATTTGTCAACAAATCAGGTGAATCCACCTTGTCTGTGCAAGATCAACTGATGGAGGTCAAAAATTAAGATTGCCGTTCACATATCGCGTCTTTTTTAGAGTTTGCACAAGTTCCAATGGAGGTGTGCCCCGTGACATGCTTCTAGATGCACACAGCTGAATAAATCCTGTGAGCGCACTTTGAGTCACATGACAAGAACTGGCCGATCAGCTTCAGCTTGTATGGAATATACATATTTCAGTAGACTAATTATCCCAGATAAACACAGAACACACAAACACTGCAGTGCTTTGTAACTTTCACCCTAAGTAAAACTTGTATCAGAGTTACAGCAACGTTTTGCCAGCTTGTCATCCTCTGAGAAAACGATTGATGGTTGCCTAGCAACCTACAATCTAGGAAACACCCCGGTCTGCAGTAAAATTGTCAAGCGTTTACTGGTCTGCAGGTTAAAGACCACTGATCTAGCCGATACAGAAGTACCTGGTTTACTTGTAATAGTTTCTTTTTACTTTTGCAGACTGACCTAAATCTGGTGACATGTGGATGAGGTCTTGCTCTTTATCCTGTAACAATGATCTGCAAGGGTGGTGGGCGGCTGGTAGGACTGGGGTAGGGGCTTAAAAGCACCTTGGTGCATTTTAAAAGCTGTGATAAACCAATGGGCTTCATCAGTTAACGTCAGTCTGGCTATTTGGTTTGGTGTGTTCCACATGTCACCTCTCGTTAGATTAATGTCTGAGCTCATTGGCCCAATGTAGAGCTCATGTAGAGACTGCATCAACTGAAGAGAGCACTCTGGTTATTTGGTAATAAATCAGAGTTTGAGTGTTATGTAGTGAAGTCACGTAACTTAAAATGTAAATATTTCAAGTAAAGAAGGAAGACACTTTAAAACATTTCTTAAATGTTTGCAAATAATATGGATTATTAGATTATCAGATATATTTGCAGGAGTGAATCCTTCAGTGGTGAGTGACAATTACTGTGATAATAGCACTAAACATTGCTTTGTTTGGGCTTTGCATGTGTGCATTGGAAGTTCCAGTTTACAGTTGTGACCAAGAAAACAGATGCTAGTGCTACCCACAGTCTCCTTCCAACCAGATGCATAATGTACTCTCTTGTTTCAATCGATTTTTGTGTTCTTGTGCATCTTTTTGATCCAGAAGGAAACACACCTGAATCGATGCGTAACGACAACACAATTTGTTTTCGTCGGCACTCGTTGTTTGCCTGGTGTTAAGACTATTGTAATAATGTGGGTGGCATATCATGCTTGTTAGATCCTTGTATGTTTAAACTGGGTGGCTGAGTATTTTTCTGTGTAAAACCAAAACTCACTTTCTAGAATGCATGTCCCATGTGGACGAAAATGGTGTTAAACTTTCGCAGATTGATCTAAATTTGCTGACATGTGGATGGGGCCTTGCTCTTTGTCCGGATCTGCAACGGCTACGGTAGGGAAGTTTAAGAATACTTTAGTATTCTACAAGAGTATTGCAGTATGTAATGTGGATGGCGTATCACTGATTAACCCTTTTTCCTTTAATGAATAAACAATAAATGTAGTATGTAGCTTTAAAAATAGAGAAGTAAAACAACTCAAGATCAAAACAAGCTTGCATTACTATAGCAACTATAAACAATAGACTGGGGGGATTTTTTTTTTCAATCTGATGCAGACACTGTATAAATGAAAGGACAGAAAGGAGAGCAGAACAAACTCCTAACAGGAGGAGACTCACTCATGGCCTATGAGACAGAGGATCAGGAGACTCAATACTGCTTTCCTAACATCAACTCATCATGTGTCAAAGGAAAACGCTCCATTCAGGAATACAATATCATGTATGTGTTTATTTCACTGCTGTCAGCATGGACTGTGTTTCTGAACCTGCTGGTGATCATCTCCATCTCTCACTTCTAGAAGCTTCACACTCCAACCAACATGATTATTCTCTCTCTGGCTGTAAATGATCTGCTTATTGGCCTTATTGTGATGCCTGTAGAGGCCATCAGGCTGATTGAGACGTGTTGGTACTTTGGAGACACTTTCTGTGTTCTGTATTTAATTTCAATTGTGCTTATTTTCTCTGCATCTCTCAGTTATTTAGTTTTAATTGCTGTTGATCGTTATGTGGCTGTGTGTCACCCTTTACTATACCCACAGAAAATAACCATCACTAACATTTTAATGAGCATCTGTCTGAGTTGGGTTTGCTACTCAGCTTATAACATCGCCTATGTAATTAATAATGGATATTTAAACTCTTCACGCAGAACAGATGTGTGTTATGGACAGTGTTTAATCATGATGAGTTTTAGCTGGACAGTCATTGATTTGTCCATTTGTTTTATTTTTCCCTGTCTCATAATGATCACTTTATATTTGAGGATTTTCTATGTCGTTCATCAGCAAGTGAAGGTTATAAACTCTCTGATGAAGGGTGGTAAATGTGAAACGGAGGGTTCAGTGAAGAGGAAATCTGAGAGTAAAGCTGCTCTGACTTTAGGAATCATTGTGTCTGTTTATCTGCTTTGCTATATCCCATACTATATCTGTACTTTACTTGTAAGCTCCTCCACAACTATAACTGTTTTGATGTGGAATGTGCATGCTAATTCAGGTATGAATCCTCTGGTTTATGCTATATTTTACCCCTGGTTTAAAAAGACAGCTAAACTCATCTTAACTCTGAAAATATTTCAGCCGGCATCCTCACTGATAAATATATTTACAGAAAATGAATTGTAACTAAGCTAGTTTCTTATAATGGCAGATTTTATTATCTGTGATTCTTTTAATAGTATTAAAACAATTACATAAAAACATAAGATCAAATTAAGATTGTAAATTATGTTGTTGGTTTTTTTTCCAATTAAAAGGTCACACATGAAAGCAGAACTCAATGAAGCAGTGTTGTAGTCCCCAGTTTTTATGTCTGAATGTACACTGAGAAATAAAGGTATAAGATCTGTCACTGGGGTGGTATTTTTTTCAAAATATACAATTTTGTTCCTAAAAGTTCCATATTAATACCTCAAGGGCAAATATAAGCACCTAAAAAGTACAAAAATTTGTAGGCACAAATATATATTTTTGAGGTACCAAAATGAACCCTTCAGGTACAAATGGGAACCTTTTGAAAAGGTACTACTCCAGTGACAGCTCACGTACCTTTATTTCTGAGAGTGTATAACATTCCCATCAAACAAAAAAGATAAGCACAGTAGTGAGTGCGTGCGTGCGTGTGTGTGTGTGTGAGTATGTGTCTGCGTGTGTGCGTGCATGCGAGAGAGTTTAACTGAATTAGTTTACTACTTATTTAACTCTGATCTCATAATAGCGGGCGTCACAGTCACGCAGCACAATCACCTCACAGCAAGAAGGTCACTGGTTTGAACCTCGGGTGGGTCAGTTGGCATTTCTGTGTGGAGTTTGCATTT